CATAGTTTAAGGAGTTTTCAAGTGTGTGGATATAAATTAGTCATCTCACCCAAACAAAGAATTGCCAACAATTTGCATTTCCTATACAGTATTCTGAAAATCATCTTCAGTTTCCTTGACAGGAAACACGAGTCTGAGGTGCTTTGATCCTGTTTTGATGCCAGAAGACCTTGCATCTTGACAGACTACACAATACAACAAAAAAGAGCACTTGCCCCTGAATCTTGAGGTAAAAATGTAAAAATGAAACCTCACAATCCACACTATGGCTTCAAAAATTAAATTTTGAAGATCAAATTTGATTTATTAAATCTCTGATTTCAAATGTCACAAAGTAACGGCCTATCCTTGAATACTTGGAATGCAGGAATTTGTTTAGAGAAGCTGTTGACTGCAAATGGTCTCTTAAGTGATCAACATACACAAAAGACCATCTACACTTTACAGTTCATGATTATATGAAATCCACTTTTACAACATGCATTTTTCAAATAAGTTGTTTAACCAGGTGACACTCTCAGGAGACAGGTCACTAAAGCACTTTTTCATAATTCATTAAACAGAAATGAAAATATGCTGCATTCATGTTTTCTTATTGTCGTTGGTTTTTAATAAAGAAATATAATTAGGATTTCAACATCAGGAATGATGTAGCAAATTTATGTAGACTCAGGGGGATTCCAACATTTTCCTTTTCAGTATTACACATCCCTGGTCTTGTAAAGTCCTGTGCCTGCAGGGTTAGCAAAAAACAGTGGTAAGCTAAACCAATATAGGTAATAAGAGTTTGAAAAATGTATGAAAAATAGGTTACACTGTCCTCAATATTCATGCATCTCCTACTTTGTTTAAGATGGAAATTTGTTGTACAAACGAAAGGCCTCGTTAACAAAATTACTGAAACATCCTGTTGGTAGCTTATCTTTTCTTATTAGTAAAGGCTCATTAGTTTAAAAAAAACACTTTATTTTATTGAGAATTTAATTAATAAATGAGTTGAACCATGTAAACCAAACAAATACCTATATTTAATGAGTATGTCTTTTCCATGAAGTGGAAAAGAGGGTAATGTCATTCCCACATTCAAAAGATAAACTAAAGAATACCATCACACTTGGAGATGTGGAGAACCTGGAATAAAATAACCACCTCAGATTCTGCTCTCCTATCTGGACAAATGTTGTCCTATGCAACGCCCTCCTAGTGGCTCAACTGTTAAAGGTTCTTGCTTGGCTTGCAGGTTAAATACTGTGGCCCAGATGTTGCAGTTGTCTGGACTATGTTGTTTGCCAAATGTTTCCAGGACACCCAAGAGGTAGCACATACTGGAATTAGCTGAGAGCACCTGGGTTGAGTGGGATTTAGTCAGCCAGGGCATTTCCTGCTCTTCCACACAGCGATGCCGTCTAGGAGGCACCTGCAAATGGCGGTCTTCCGAACTCATGGCATGACTTCCGGCTCTGACAGGCGGACATGTCAGAGATGTGCAGAAATAGGTCTTTGTTCTCTTTCTGGTCCAGGAATTGTAGCAGTAATTTGATAAATAAACTGTCATCAACTTAACCATCAGTTCAGATCGGGTATTGGGGAACTCGTGGCTGACGCAGTGGAACTTGATCATGCTGGAAAGTGGCAATCACTCCAGCAGCTTTTTAGAAGGATCTTCATTGTCTTCACACATCAGGAAAATTGGTTTAATGGGTCACTTTTATATTTCTTACATTTATCTAGTAGTGTCAAGCAGAAAGATCAGTCTTCTTGGTTCAAACTTATAAACTATATTCAAATATCTTTATATGTACCGTTAGCACTTGGACCAATCTTACTGTGGTATGTAGCATCCATGAATGCATTACAACTTTAGTGTAAAAACATGGATGGAAACGATGGAAGGCTGTCTGAGTCAAAATAAAATACATCTAAAATCTTTGGAGAGGCTTTAACAGTTTTAGACTTATTAGTTGTTTCTTTAGTAGCACTTGCTTAATAAGATTTGCGTCTGTGAAATATAAATTAGAATTTAAGAGTCGGTCTAAATATACATTAAATATGACTGAGTTGTTTCCAATTGTATAGCACCATTCACCCCAAGGATGAAAGGGTGAGGCACAACTGCTGTTCTGTACCAGCAGCCCTGCTACACAGCAGATCACATGAAGAAGTGAGAAACTGCTTGACCAGCTTGACAGACTAAGAAAATTACCTGACAAGCCAGACAAAATATCCTTATGTGCTAGCTTCAATATGCCTGTCAGTTACATGCAATATATTCTATTGATTGGTTTAAAACAGTATATGGAAAGTGGTTGAGCTTTGAATTTGACAGTTTCTTTTTATTGTAGTGTCTTGCTAAACCAGTTGCTGTGAATTTTCACTTGCACTAGAACAGGTTTTAATTATAGATCCCCACCACTAACAAACATGCTCATAAACTGGGTCAGAAGATATGTTCTTTCAGAAATCTCTAGTTTGTTAGCAGTTCAGCTACAGACAGAATCGTTTCCATTAACAGCTTGTCCTAAAATATCCCAGTTTCACTTGAAAGGCAAACAGCCCATAGCTAAAATAAAAGTTATATTAATGAGATGATCCAAAATGTGTCTCTAGAAATTTACTTTATAAGTTTCTGTTGTTCATAAACAGAAGAGGTACATTTAGACAATTCGTGTACAGTAGCTCTATTAAAATGATCCCATTCTCCAAATTATTTGACCCATTTTATTATCGTGAAAGGATGTGTGGTGGTCTGCAAACAGCCAGCAAGCCTCACAATACACACAATCTACTTTAACTTTGGGGAGCAGCATAGTCATGTCCAATGTAAGTGTTGATACATATGGTGTAGTATACAATCTGCCACCCCTCTTGGAAAAGATGGAATGTGTTGGGTGACAGATTGAGCATGATTCAAAAAGCATCATGAGAAGACTGACTTTTTGAGCTTGGCAGTGAGACACTATGGATATTTTTGGAGCATACAGTGATTGCACAATGTTATAACACATTCTGAAGAGCAGTTTGTTTTGTTGAATGCTTTCTAAAATCATGATGACTGTCTTAATTTGTTTTTGTCATAAACAGTGTGATGTAATAAGTTCTCCTTTCATGTTTCTAACAAACTACAGTAATTCTAACAAGTCAAAATGATTATTAATAATTCCAACTATATGCCTTATGTATTTGAGACAATAATACTGACTCCAAATTTAATCTACTGTTCCATATTTTAAATATTATTGTAGAATTAAGGATCATTTAATATAATCAGTTATTTAACTAAAATGTTTAAAACAAAAACAGTTCCTCTGCTTTGCGTACTATAAATGTTTTGCAATGGTTAGGCATTAGGTTATTATACTTGTAGTCTTACAATGACATTTTACATGAACACGTATCATACTGAGTTGTCAGTTTTTGACCTATTGGTTCCATTCAAAAACTATCCATGCAAAAGTGAACTGTACATAACCACTGATAAATTAATGGTTTAGTTACAGATATCACACCACAAGAAGAGTATATTATAATTGGCAAAAGTAATACAATTAAGAAAATATCAAATACTTAAGAGGCAAGGAGCCTGTCCATTACATACTCATTTTAAATCAGCATACTGTAGATCATGTTTACAGAATAAATTATATGCAATATTTTAGTCCCCTGTAACTGATAAATGGAGACAAACATGTCAAACTTTATATTTATTTATTTGAAGTGTTTAATACCGATGCCATTGTTTGTTCCCACAAAGAAGTTTATCTTTCTGGGAGAAAACGTGTTGGGATCTATTATTACACTAAATAATGGAAGTATAGCCTTTCTTTTTTTCCACTTGTTTGGCACTCCAGAGTACCAGGGAAAATTGAATCGAAAGCTCCAGTCATGGACAGAGCCTTCAGAGATTAGTCCTTTTTTCCTAATGCTATTATCTCCCTTTCCTGGTGTCTAGGATGCATAAATACCACAAAAAGTCATTCTAAGTACATTGTTCCTGATAATTATAGTCAGACTTCAAGATAAGTGCACTACGTGATGCAACATTCTAGTAGGATTTTTTTTCCCTTCTTTTCCTCTCTGTAAATCTAACTGCTCTCGAAAACCTGAACAATGGATACCCAAGACACCAGCACTTGGCATTTTGCCACGGACACAAGAGCTTTGATTTTTTTGTGTTTTGATAAGGCACAATCTGGACGCTTTTATCTTTGCTGTTATATTTAAAGATGACATTCTAGCCTGGCAGCCTCTCCTATTGTCTTGACCCTGATTATCTGCCAATGTTGTTGTTTAGCCCGAGTCGAAGGTTTTTAATGAAAGGTCTGCTCCCAATTTAAAGGTATTTATTGAAATGCAGAGTATCCAATACACTCCAGTGCAAGGAAAGAAAAAAAAACGAACGAGCTGGTTAATCAAAAGTTAATTGTATAATTTTAATGCAGATGAGGGCCACATGCATATGAATCCCTGCTCTGCAATTATTAAAAAAATACTATAGAAATGCGCTGGGGCACTGCGTCTTGTAAACAATCAGCTAAAGTTTAATTTGTGGTAAACAAAGTGAAGATACACCAGGGGTCTCCAAAGGAGAAACTAAGGTTAAATTAAATTTGGAAACATAAAGATACAAGCTGTTTTGTGTTTAAGCCATGCAATTAACCAAGTCCTTAATGAAGAAAATGCCAGTTGTGGGCAATATTCCTGGAAACAGCTCAGTACAGTTATAAGAAGGATATTATAAGCTGATAGCTTTTGGGGGACTTTAGGTTTATAAGAGGTGTTGAGAGCCAAACTAGGAATACAAGCCAGGTTATATAAGGGAGGAATGGCCATGAGGTTTGTGTTAAAATTAACTGGGGCACACTCATACTGTATCTGTTCAACAGGTAGGTTTAGAATAATTAAATTCCACTCTTACTGACAAAACCTTGTATACTCATTAACATAACCAATATAAAGCATTTTGTCTCCTCTGAAGTCCACACATGAAGTTCAAAACAATATTTAGCAAACTGTTAATGTTTTATTTTAATGCATCAAATGTTATATTTTTTGTCATCATTATGGACACTACAATAATAGACATTCAACATAAGATTCTTTAACAAAAATAAGAATTTTATAATAATCAATGAGAGGAAGTTAGTAAAATGTAACTTTGCACACACCTCAGGTGCTGTTAATGTAAGCTGCCATTAATATTCTGTGAAACCTTTCTCCACGATTAAGCCTGGCACCTTTAACTGATGATTCTACATTGTCCATATTAATTAACCACAGTATAAAAGTGGTTTACATATCCCGTAAGTGATTTGTCCTTACTAGTCTTTAATACTAGTTAAATGACTACAGCATGCTCAAGGTGTCATTTAGTTACTTAATCCAAAAATGTTAAATTAATCCATTTAGCAGCTGTATCCCTATTCATTGTTTTACATATCAACACAGAGCTTTAGAAAATATGTGAAAACAAAATTTCTTTGGTAAGAAAGGTATATATATACACCTTCAGGACAATAAAATTCTTACCATTAATAAAATAAAATTAAATTAATAAATTTGTCTCTGCATAATGAATGAAAGCTAGAAGCATTTGGTTTTTAATTGTACACTGAAAATTCTCACCCCTCTCTATGACCCAAGCTCCTTTGCAGATAACTACTCACACTCGTTAGCCTTATTATGCACAGAAATAAGATAACTTACCAAATACATTCAGCTATGTGCAACTGGTGGAAAGAATTTTTAATCAAAAATAGAGCACACATTCAAACAGAAATTAGAAAAAAAACTTTAGTCGTCTCTCATCAGTGAAAACTGATTTCGTTATGTAAATTACAGCTATGAATATTAAACCACTGATGAAAGGTTTTTAATGAAGGAATCTTTTGTTTTGAAAATGCAAGAGTATATGCTTTAATTTCTTGCTAATTTACTGTTCTTTGATAATGTTCACATTCTCCCTAAAGTGACTTCTCTGATGGGCTTAGTAGTGTGCATACAACTCCAGACTAACAATACTGGTTTTGACAAGTCTTCCCCTGTGTGAATATAGATCATGATTCACAGCCCCTAATGCACAATTCTATTAGGGTGAATTTTGTCTATAGGGCTTTGCCTGAAATGAATTCTCATTTTAATGTTAGTCTCCTGCAGTTTTTAATTTTTAATCTCTAATATGAAATTACAAATTTTACAAACATCATTTGAAAAAGCCACTAGGAGAGTACTGAATGCCAAAGTTTACATATTGTCTAATTAGAACATTATGAAGAACAGCTTATCAACGTCAACCCAAAGATCATCAAAAAAGCAATTACTAATATGAAAAAAATAAGACTGATTAACAACTTTACTATTACTGGTCACCTTTCTCTGCACTTCTACAGTCCTTTTAAGAACAATTTAATAGGCTTAAACCACATAAAACTATCTTTCTGTGCAACAAAATATAGTAATGTTGAAATAAGATACCAAATTTATACTCACCTTCAACATTTAAGACAAAATGCTTTGATTTTTTTTTTGCAAGTTTCAATTAAATAAGAGGCCTACATATAAGATCTTTTACTTTCTTGACTTCAAAGTATAGGATAAAAAAAGGGGTGAAATAACATTACAATAAGGTACAGACACATTTTAATACAAAACCAACAAAAACATAGTGCCAAGCTTGAAATGATCTTTTAAAGATACTTAAGAGAGCATACCCTTCCAAAGATATAACATTATTTAGTTAATATAAAAAATGTATAATGTAATCATCCACCATTATTTTACACGAACCCAAGTGTTATTTAAATGTTTCAAATGTTTATACACTACATGTATCTTGCCTTCAGAAGGTGACAAACTAGATTGAATGGAGCTGGATTCAAAGTAAGCATATTATCTTCCTGGACAAGCACCTAAGAGCAAATTGTGCAATATCAAAACTCATCTGTAAATGAAAACATATGTATAGGTCTATATTTCATGTATGTCTGAAGTTTTGTATTTTGATAAATTGTGAATTTAACACAAAGGGCAATACATAACGCTGCTGTTAAAAACATGACATTGAAGAATGGCAGATCATTTTATCCACTTTATTTTTGAAGACCAGCCTGCTCGGGTGACTACATACAAGTATTGTGTGAATATCCATCTGTTCTGTATTTGTGAAATTATTTTTATGTATTGTTTTAAGAATATGCTATACTGAACAAAAATGAAAGTTTGTGACACTTTCACAACTTGGTCAAGAATTCCCAGGTGACCTAAAATACATCTAGCTTTCACACTACAAAATGCTGAAGATCACAACCTTTTGTAGCAGATAAATGGTCTTGGCAAATTTAATTTGATTAAAATCTTTTTATGACTAGGTCATCAGTGGTAACTAACTTCAAATGAAGCAAACTTTACTTAAAGCCACATCAAGCACTAACAAGTTAATGTGTGAAAGAACACAAATGAACACATTGGTATTTTGTTATGGAAACAAACTTAGCTAGATGAAACACCAAATGGCTCATTTTCAAAGTTTAAAAATGTTACTTATTTATCAACTTTACTACTGTACTGCTTTATGATGGATTACTGGAGGTAGGATATGGTTCATGATGGGATGGTTTTTCGTCATTCTGTGCATTAGCTTAAATACAAAACAACCAATGAAAAATGTCTTTAACAATTCTGAATTTTAAAAGTGTTTCCAAAGCTCATACAGATAAAATAAGAATGCAATGTCCACAAAACTGTTCAGACTAAGCACAAAACTACTTCAAACTACTACTAAAATGATCCCAAAAGCCATCCAAAAAATTAATAATGTAAATCACTTCTTGTACAACTCTCTAAGGAACTATTTTAAATAAAAGTTCCATACATTTCACTGTATTGCTTAATATATTGATAGTATTCACATGTGATAAGAAGTTATTGACGGCATTGCAGGGAATGATCTGAAATTATGATCCAAGTCAAACGTTGGTCTGTACAATTAGAGAGCACTATTACTGACATTTGCGACCTAAACAAGATTAAGCAACAGTATGAAATTAACAAAAAGCTACAAAATTTATTTTATAATGGTAGAAAATGACATTTCTGAAAATGTTTAAAATACATAATCTTAAATTTCATTAGACATCTTAAGCATAACAAAATAAGTTTCTGCATTTCATAAAGTTCTGTAGGAAACCCCTAGACTTAAGCAAATATTGTATGCTCAACTGCATAAAACATTGCAAATATACAAAAATACCTTGTCCTGGCACAAAGCCCAAAGAAAAGACAGGAGACAACATTAAAAAAAAATCTATTAAAATTGAAAATTGCATTTACAGCTCAAGAATGATTAAGCAGACAGTTTACAAAACTGCAAAAAATTAAATCCGAAATATATACAAAAGTCCTTAAATTATTTTCTCCTTGTACGCCTGACAGTCTTGGCTTCAGCTTGTTTTACATTCTCCACCTTTTTTTGTAACCCGGCTCTTCTTCCCCGTATTGTACTTTCAGCAACATCCACATCTGCTAATAAAAGAGATAAAGGAATATAAGTAAAAAAAGCATTTCCAAACCAAATTTCCACACAGTAGTCTTATATGGCCTAAATAACTACTCCCATTTCCAACAAGCTGAAACCTGAATATGTGAATATTTTATGTAAAGTACAGCTATCAAGACAGGGTTAATTTCATATCTGAAACGAATTGTAGCTATAATGATAAAATGAAAATATGTATGTTTTAGGGAAAATAAAACATACTGATTTTAAATATTAAACAGTTCTGGCATCATTTTAATCCATGATTGACCAGGATATACCCAAATGACTGTTACATTAACACAAATATACCCAATTATCAAGTTAATTAGATAAAGGCAATATGCGATTTAATCTACTAAATTCTATACCTTATGTAAGCCAAGAAAGTATGCACAAAACTCATCATTACCTCCATGTCAAGAGAGCATTGTTTTGTGCCATAAGCATGTTGCAGACTACAAAAAGTCCTTTTTTAACAAAAGTCCTTTTTAACAAAGAATTAGTGGATTTGTATAAAGCTCTGATGGAGGTGTGATGTAGATGTGCACAACATGAACTGTTGTGGACAAAAGACCAATCAACAGGAAGGTCCGTGGGTTTGATCATCTGAGCAGGTGTCCACACGATAAAGTACAGTAATGGCAACTGACTTCTTTCTTGAGATATGTGAAATGATTTCTGTTGACTGTCTACTTTTCAGATTCAAATCCCTTTGAACATTTGTGGAAGAAAACGGAATAACGTATGCTTTCTTGAACAAGCTATCTACAACCTAATAAAGTGTACACTTGCAGCTCACAACAATGGCCGTATCCTTTACTGGCATGTCACTTTTGACAGCACCCAGCCATAAACATTATAACACACCCCACATCTGGAAGCATGTCCCCCAAATCAAAGTGCATAGTGAAAGATACAAAACAATTCATACAGTGCAGTAGTTTTGTAAATGCTAACCTGAATAATGAAGTTACCAATGTATATCCATAAAATACTGAATCTGCTATGAAAATATCTTTCTGATTAGTTTGTTGCAGGTGTTAAGTGAAACTTTTTTGATCTCAGTACATATTAAGGAATCAATAATGATGAAAGTACATCAGTTTAAATATAAAATACAATTGGTTTTATAGGCACAGTTTTCCATGCATTACCTTGAAAGTTTTATCAATTATCACTGGGAGAAGCAATTCAAGGCAAACAAAATCACTAGCTGCAACCCTTTCAACTCCTATACTTATTTAAATATGTGCAGCTGGCTTGTAGTACATTTCCTCATGAGCCAATACTTACTTTTACATTCTTTGACTGCTGCATTATCTGCTTTAGCTGCACGCCGCCCTCTGGTTATCCTGGGTAAATCACCTGGGTTTCCGACTCCTACCGGCGTCTTTAGCTTTCCAGCAAGTTTCAGTTTAATTTCTTTGGGCTGAGCCTCCCTTTCTTCTACAATCTGATCTTTAACATTTTTTTTGGCCATTGTTTCATTATGCTGTGCTGACAGTTTTGTCACCCTTCCTTTTTTTTCAGGCACAGCACAGATCTCTTGAGTTTGGACAGGGATGGATGAAATACTAGACTTTGTCATCCTACTTCTGGTCTTCTTTGGAGGGACCCCCATATCTGAAGCTTCAGATAATGACTCTTCTGTGATTGCTTTAGCAACCTGTTCACTTGTCAGTTTTCTTTTTATTCCTCTTTTTTTAACAGAATCAAGATTTCCATTTGTAATGTCAGATTTAGCCATGTGCCTTCGTGATGCTCTTACTTGTCTTTCAGAAGATGTTTTATCTGAAGGTTTCTGGTCTAGATTTCCATCTGCCTGGTCAGGAGTTAACTCTGAGGCGGTGAAAGAATCAGTGGAAAAACTGGCTATCTCCACCTCGCCAGGTTGGATTTTGGTAGATAATTTTGTGTTTGGCTTCCTGCCTCTGCAAGACTTTCCTTTACTTGGAGTTTCTGTTAAGATAGAATTCCAACTTACATTTTTCTTTGGATAAATCCTTTTCATTTCATCTTTTTGGAATTTATTTTCCCCCTCACTTTCCAACTTGTTGTCAGAAATCAAGTTTTCCTGGACAGATCCATTTTTGTGGGATGTAGATTCAGCAATATTATGCAATGCTTCCTTGTTTGTTTGAGTGGTAGCCCTTCGTTTTCTCCCTCTTGCATTTTGCATATTTGGAACCGAAGATTCTGCAGAGTCCACCGAGTCACACACTGAGGAAGATGAAATGGCCGAAGAGGATACTTCTGAAACAGCCTTTTCTTTGGATGGCTGTGCTGCAACTGTTTTAAGTTTCTTCACAGAGGCTGAAGTTTCTGTTTTGTCTATATCATTTGATGTCTTCTTAGCCTTGCTAGACTGCATCACTGTCCTTGTCTGATCTTTATCATGCACAAAACCACCTGCCTTCCTCCCTCTTCCAGATTTCTTGTTTGTTGAACCAGTCATCTCAACCTCAGTCTTTTCAGAAAGACTTTCAGTTGAAGTGCTGGTTTCAGTTTTAGATATGTTCTCTACTCCACTGGATTTAAAATCTTGATTTAAAATCTCTTTACTCTTTCTTCCTCTTCTACCTCTCTTTACAGGAGCTGGGGAAGCAGTTACCAGTATTTCATTAGCATCTACAGTGTTATTACAACCTAAACGTTTCAGTGTTGGCGGTGTCACCAAGGTTTCAGCAAGGCTTTTCTCAGAATGCATCAGTTTGATTTCTTCTAAGTCCTCCAGATTTTGTTTAGCCTTCCCCCCCCTTCGAGATTTTCTTACCGGAACAGGGGATGAAGCCTTCTCTACAGCTGAAGTACTTGTCCCTTCACGTCTTATTGCTGAGGGAGATGTAGCCCCTACTTTTTGAGTCTGTTCAGTACTTTTATTAGACTTCCTACCTCTTGTAGAAATTTTAACAGGAGCAGAGGAGGTGGTAGTTGCTTTGTCAGCAGAGTTTGTAATTTCACATGTTCTTAATTCAGAGGTCTTCATAATATCTACCGAAAGATTTTCAAGAGAAGCTTCTTCTGAGGTTTGATGACAGACATTCTGTTTCGGCTTCCTCCCTCTTGATTTCTTATCAGAGGTTTCGGCTTTTCCTGTGATTTTACGACGACAGGGCCTCTTTCCAGGAACCTGAGACATCTGAATGTCTTCTAAATTGCTTGCATCCGTGTGTTCAACTTCAATCACATTTTCACTTTCCGATCTAAGGGCACCTGAAGCATGCTGATCAACCTTTTCTGCATTTTTGTTCTCTTTAGATACAAAAGGGTTTTTTCCAGAAGGATCTTCTACTGACACTTCACGATCAACAGTTATTTTCCTTCCTCTTTTTGATGTCTTAGGAGAAAATAATACAGCCTTATTTTCCATGATATCACTTCCTGCCAGCTTTTCATTAGGAGCTTCTAGATTTTGCCGTGGTTTCCTTCCCCTTCTAAGCTTTTTGGGTGACAAAGGCACAGATATTTCAGTGTGTCTATCCTCTTGAAGCTCCTCACAGTTAATTTTAGCAGGCGGTTCTTTTGTTTCTGTAAAATAAACAGCTTAATGTAAGATGCAGAGTCATGTTTTCTTAAATTCCTTCAATAATATATATGAAACAGTAACAGAAAATGTGGAGATTCTAATTTAAGTGGTTTGTTGCAAAACCACATATATTCGACAAAGTTAATTTTGGAAGCATGGTTGCACAGTGGTTAGTATTTCTGCTTCATAGTGCTGGGGCCCTGGGTTACATTCAAGACCTGGGTGTTTTCTCCCCGTGTTTGTGTGGGTCTCCTTTGGCTTCTGGCAAAACTGGCCCTGGTGTCTGTGTCTGTCTGTCTATCCTGTGATGGACTTGCATTCAAGGTGAACCCCGTCTTTAACCTGCTGCTTGTTAGAATAGGTTCTAGCACCCCCACGACTCTGAATTGAAAGAGGCAATTAGAATTTGGGTGGACGAAAGTACACTTCTAATTATGCCAGAAGCCTGCAAGTTAAAACAGCTCATTCAGGTTACGAGCCTTTGTACACCCCCTTCTAGACAAATTTCAGAAATACTTTAAAGAGAATACTGTTACCATCTGTAGATACGTTAAGAAAATTAATCCATGGAAAGATGTCTTTCTGCATTTCATTTCTTATAAGTTGTTTTTTTACTCAGAAATGGTTATGTCCTCCTGACTCAAAACATACTTCACTGATGTAACCATCCCAAACGTGGGTATATACTGTATACACAATAGAAATGGGGGTTGGGCACAATGTTGTGATATAATTGACCACCACAAAACCGTTTGGAAATGGACAGTACGCAACTTATTCAGGTATTTTTTGAAAAGCGGCTTCTATTGAGCGACATCTTTTAAAAATAGTACCAATGCTATCTACTATACATAACAGTCAAATAAAAGATCTTTAGGGACACTGTATCAAAGTAGTCTGGCAGTGAAAGAACTGAAGAAAGATTTTCAGCAGAAATATCAGATTCAATATTGATGTTCTTCATCCACCCCTTTTTATAAATGAGAAATTGATTAATTGCAGTGAAAATGAAGGAAAGGCCAGTAAAAAGTTTAAAAACAGCTTCAATACTCACCAACACCTCCCTTTGCAAGTCTCCCTGAAGTTTTGCCTTCTTTAGGAGAAAGGACTTGTTCCAATATCTAAAAAAAAAAGTACAAGACAAAAAAGTAATTTTTATAAAGATAAATTATGTCCAGCAGTAGAAAATAAACAGAAGCTTAAAACAGTATTCATCCTTCAATTTCTTACACAAAAACAGATCTCTATTGCATTAAATACACATATTTGCACAACAGCATGAGTTCAGAGCTTATTTTCATTTATTCAAAGCAACCAGAAATGTCAGAAGTCATTAGCAAATGTATGCTTTTTACGTTTGTAAAACCATCAGCAATATATTGTCAACCACGGATTACATCATTTAAGAAAGCAATTCCCAAAATGTAGATACTGCATCAACTGCTGACCAATGTTGACCTATGTAAAAGAATACAAGGTAGAGATACTGGGTGGAAAATAATCACAGTATAAATACAAGGGAAAAAAAAGCAATTCAGAAATTTAAGTAATATGTACTAAGCAGTAATGAGAAAACTGCCCAGATTATGGAAAAGTTAAATATTTCATATGGTTTGAAACCATGTCAGGACTCAAGCCATGACAAATTCAAAATCTGTAATGACTTTGAAACATAGTTAACATAGTTGAAGAATAGCAAAACAGCCTCATATGGACCCAAATACTACATAATTATTCAAACCCTGTATATACTTGCCTTTGCTTTAGATGGTTCCCCTGTTCTACCAAAGTCTGCATCACGGCCAGTGTTTTGCAATGGCTCTTGCATAAGTTCTGGTAGCCCTGTGAAGTCCTCAACTGGGATACTTCTTTGCTTAGGAGACTTTACAAGTCTGCGGATACCAAAATCATGCTCAACAGGCTCGCCCTTTTGCTTAGGGGTACGCAACAATCGTTTTACGCCGACCATGTCTTCAACAGGCTCACCCTTTTGCTTAGGGGTACGCAACAATCGTTTTACGCCGACCATGTCTTCAACAGGCTCGCCCTTTTGCTTAGGGGTGCGCAACAATCGTTTTACGCCGACCATGTCTTCAACAGGCTCGCCCTTTAGCTTAGGGGTGCGCAACAATCGTTTTACGGCAACCATGTCTTCAACAGGCTCGCCCTTTTGCTTAGGGGTGCGCAACAATCGTTTTACGGCAACCATGTCTTCAACAGGCTCGCCCTTTTGCTTAGGAGTACCTAACGATCTTTTCAGGCAAACTAGATCATCCACTGGGACTCCCTTCACTTTTGGCATTTTCATCATTCTTTGCTCTCCAGCTATGTCCTCCACTGGTTCACTCTTCTGTCTGGGTGTCTTAAATAGTCTCTTCACTCCAACAAGATCTTCAACTACAGCTGATTTTGGCATTCTGGGAGTCTTCAGTAGCCTTTTGAGACCTCTTAGATCTTCAACCTGTTTTGTCTTCTCTTTTGGAGTTTTCATTATTCTCTTAACTCCTGTTAAAGGCATCAGCGGCTCTGTCTTCTGGCTGGGTGTTCTAGTCCTTTTTGGTCTTGTGGCTTTTTCACCGCTTTCTAAAGGAAGCGTTTCTACATGCTCAACCCTTTCCTTAGGAGTTGTCACTAAATCCTGAACAGACGCATCACAGAAGGACAGCTTCTCATGATAAGTCTCAATACTAACTAAACTACAATCCTTTTCTTGTTGAAGAAGACGAGAAACAGCATCCTTGTTGTACCTTCCTCGCTTAATGGTACTAGTAGGACTTAAAGGGGAGACAACCATTTCACCTGTAAAAAGAACAGACTAATAAATCCACAAAAACACTGACAATATTGTAAATGTGCAGATTAGTAACAGGAATGGCACGAATTATAAACATTTAAACTTCCACTACTGTGACCAACCACAAACTAATGAAACCTTTGCTTAGGGGACTCTACAAGTCTGCCAATACCAAATTCATGCCTCACCCTTTTGCTTTGGGGCGCGCATCAGTCTTTTTATGCCAAACAGGTCTTCAACAGGCTATAAAATCCAAGCTAAAAATATCTAAATGCCTGCATTGATAGAGAGTAATATGCAAAAGACATTTTAAAATAAACTGAGGCCTTGCATTTGATAATTACCAGCACGAACAACAGTCATACTCGGATAAAAATATTACACCTACACACTGCATGTCGGGCTTCTGCAAGCAGCAAGTCCTGTAAAACCCAATTCTTCTGCAGGACCACTCTCAGCTCACACTAAGATCTGGGAATTGTTCCAGGGATACCAATAGAAGTCTACTGCACAATCCTCAACCTTTAGTCTGCCCCAAGCAAAACAGCAACACAAACATCACAGACTGACGTATTGGATAATGTGCTGCTTAAAATCTAAAAATATTATATGGTCATCTTGATAGCATTGCAGTGTAGCCATATGTCCATAAAACATGCAGGGCATGCTTATTTACACCTCCAATATCCCATTAAAAAAAATCCAAGAAAAATGTTACTTTTTTGGAAGTATAATGGAAGCATCTAATTCAGAATCTTAAGCAAAGCTTCAAATTTCACAACTCATTCAATTATGTTGTTTGTTTTCATTTCATTGGGTGGTGTATAAATTAAGATGGCAGGCACTGAATCAATTTGGTTTATAACCACTCATCCACTAGTCATACCAAACTTAAATTACTTGTTGTGAATACTAAGCATTCTTGCATATACAACAATTTCTGGAGGTTTTTTTTTTTACCATAATGACTGACATTTTCTTTAAAATAATCTCGAACTTCACAGAATCGCCAATCATAAAAAAAACTACAGTCTAGCCCAGCCTTCCTTAGCCAAACCTGAATTCATACATTACTGGCTACAATGATATACCTGTCTCTTCAGGGGTAGTCATAACAGATGCTTCTTTCAAAGGTGAAGAACAGGCACCAGATTTCCCAGTTTGCTTTGGTAGGTCATTCACAGGTGTGCTGAACATTTCTGCAATGCCTGTAAACAAATTCATTTTGTAGTAATTAAATTTTGATCCCAGAGATCTGATTTTATACCACTGCAAACTTATTAAGAATAACAGTACAGATGCTTTTTACAATGCTTAAATTAAATTAATGATTTATTATCATCCTTCAAAATGCAAACATAAGCCTTCAAGATAAAAAAATCACAAGCCTCTTCAGTGGATTTTTAAAAATAACCAGGTAATTCTTGCATGGGTAAATTGCTTTTCCACTTAATCTTGAAATTTAAATTACTCCATATGAACTTAAATTTAACTGAATACATATCAAATTTAAATTTAACTTCAGATTAAGTATTTTTTTTAGTACCAAAAGAACATTCTAAAACCCACATAAAATGCTTAAATAACTTTTATGTATAATGCCAAAATTCTTTCTAAAGGGATATAAATGGTAATTACGATGTGGAATATGTAATAACAGTTAACACTGAAGTTGGAGTGCTAATTGGGGTTTCTTAAAATGTTACCAAACCTGTTAAATTCTCATTCATTTCCATGGTCTTTTTCATCAGTGCAGTGTTCTGAACCAGCTTTGGAACACACCCAGCTTGCTGCACAGTTTTAGTATGAGCTCTTCCAATGACAATAGTAACCGGAGAATCTGCATGTCCTGTACTAAAATGTTGTATCTTCTGAGCTGGAGTCTAAAAAAATTAAAAAAAAATTAATATTGAAACATTAAAGTTATGGTTCATTTAGCCAACATTATTCAAACTGAAGCAATTATAATCCAAAATTTATAAATGTACAAAAAAAACTTGTTAATCTCATGATGGTACTGGGTATTTATGAACACAAAATCAGCCAAAAATCATTTGCGAACCTACAATTCTTACAAGAATGTAGGGCTGCGATAATGGCTGCATTTTTTATTATGGCAAAAATGTTCCTACAGACATAGGAATTACAACAATCTTAAATGTAACTAACAAGTAATAGGTTTATTCCATGCTGAAAAAAAGAAGAAAGAGAACAACGTTTCGGCCGTGGAGCCTTCTTCAGGGCTCCTATATCCTAAACCTATTACTTGTTCCTTTGCAGCCTATGAATGCTGACACAGCTACCCACCTTTAATGTAACTATGTACAAATCCAACATGTGTTTGGTTGGGAATCTATTGTTTTTAATAAGGAAGACTATGAAAGTCAAATATACCATTTTCCACCTTGTGTGGCCATCTTGTGCAAGTGCCCTCTCTGCATTCAGTATAATAAATTGACAGCCCTTCATTTCACTTTTAACAAGTGCCAGCAACCACCTTACTGCTGCCACTAGTTGGACTAGTCTTTGCTCCTCCAATTATTCTAAATGAAAAAGGTTAAGGAACTATCCTACTAAAGTAGCATAACACAATTTGTTTCCCAAAAGAAAGCAGAGGCTTTGTTCTAGATGTTTGTAGTTTGTCATGCACACAACCAACTACTTTTTATCTTAATGACAGTTTACACTAAATTTGCAGCAAAGGTATTCTGTGTCCTGTTCATCCACAAATGTATTGTAATTGCATCACACACACAAGTAAACCCAGTATGCATCTCTTTCAATGTCTTTTATACAGAGCATTTAATTATTTTTATACAGATTTGAGCAAGTTTTTTTTTTAATTCAGCCTTTCTCTGCGACACTAGTTGTCAGATACTAAACCATCAAGAAAACTAAATATTTTTCACAAACATCCACACAACTGAAGTTTGAGATAACCATGTAACTTTACCTTTGGTGTCTGTGCTGGAACTTTCTTCATGGTTCTGCCTTTCACTCTGCGTTTCTTACCAGGAATGCCCACCTGGCATTTAGCAGCACCATGCTTTACAATATCTGCCCAGGAATGCGTAACTAAAACACAGAAAAATGGGAACAGAAAAGATTGTATATCCTGAATGTCTGCACTTTTACACCAGATTTCACTAAATTTTGTTCCTATTTCACTGGCAAACTATTCTGGGTGTATGTTACATCAACCAAGAACTTCAATCAATGTACAGTGAGTGCCACTTATAAAATGTTAGTTAGTTAAAGATACATCTTGACATCCATGACAAATTAAGACTGCATTCACATTTCATCCTTTAAATTTTTACCTTTTAAATTAGCTTGAGAAGCTCCGCTTCGTCTTGAGCGAACAGCATCAAGCACAGCACTCTTTCTTCGGAAGCTGGAAGATTTCTTTGATGTGGATCTCATACTTTTCCTTCTTGGTTCAACTTTAGGTGTTACTATGCTACTCAGCTGTTCAGAAACAATGCTTTCAGCTACATTCTCTTTCTGATCAGCAACAGGTGAAGGAGTGCTGATGCGCGAAACAGAGAAGCGGCCTCTTACTGTTGGACTTTTGCTCGGTGATGAAGCTGTCGAAGTCTTTCTAGGAGGGGTTGGTGTTGTGACATAACCTGCAGACAACTCTACAGAAAGATTGGTCTTGCAAGCACCAGTTAGAGATTCTGTGCTATGATGGACATTTGCTGCTGAATGCATTTTCCCAGTACTACGTAGAGTCTTTTTGCTCTGTGTGGTGTCAAGTGAACAGTTAGCTGGGGAGGGTGTCTTCACAGCACCACTACCAGATCTCCTACCATGAGGTGTTCTGGCTACAGAGTCTGCAAGAGAGAGAGACCATGCTGTAGAAGCAGCAGGAGTGCCTGAACTGCATAAAGAGGTGTCAAGGGAGCTGGCCATGGCAGGGCTAGAGACAGCTCTCTCATGAGGTGTGCTGGCTGCCTTTCTAGATGAAGAAGGGGTCTTGGAAAAAGAGGGTGAGTGAATATCACCAGATACATGGCCATGAGGCATGTTGGCAATAACAGCAGACATTTGTTCAGTAGCAGGAGAGCGAGACCGTCTCTTAGGCGAGGGAGTCTTGGACAAAGAACTTGGTGGGAAGGCTGAACTTGCTGCATTTGTGAGGGATTTCCTGCCACGTGGGCTACCCACAGACTGGGCCGGTGAAGGAGACTTTGAAACAGACAGAGCAGGGGAGGCAGATTTCATGCGCCGTGTTGAGATAGACTCAGGAGCAACAGTCTGTGGTGAAGAAAGGCAATCAGATTTCAAAGGTGTTCCAGTATCTAATTCTGTGGACTTTTTAGCAGGTGTAGGCTTTTTTCTTGGACTCTGAGATTTTCTTGGACTCTGAGATTTTCTTGGACTCTGAGATTTTCTTGGACTCTGAGATTTTCTTGGACTCTGAGATTTTCTTGGACTCTGTTTTTTCAAACGTATTTTTTCTTCATTTAACTCCTGTAAAAAACATTAAGTTAATAAAATTTAGTGAAATAATTATACAGCCTGGTGATGATGCAAGATTTCTGAAACTGAGTATCTTTTAATATTCTAGTTGGTACAGTATTATAGCTCTATTTCACCTGCTTACTATCTTACACAAAAATAAGATGGGTGTTACACAATGGTTGAATGTTCTTTGAACATCCCAAAACTGAGGATGAAAACAGGAATGGAAGAGAAAAGCAGCTACAACAATTAATAATTCTGCAACATCTGAGAACATTTCTGTGAAGTCAACACTTTTATGTTAAAAATAGGTGAACAACAACAAGTTATCTTGGAAAGGAATTCTAGAAAGAGAAACCTACCTTAATCAAAGGTTTCACAACACAAACTGTAGATGCCCTCCTCAAAGCAGGTTGTTTGCTGCCAAAGGAATGTCCACGTCTCAGTGGTGTGGCCCCTTTCCGCAAAGGGGAATTTGGAGGCAGGCGTTTGTCAAAAAGTTCCGGACTCAAGTGGCCACCAAAGGATACCCTTTTTCTTTTCAGGGGTGGCCCTAATGATTTCTCCTCGGATCCTCCACTCTTGCGCTTCTTGCTAGATGTCCGATTATCTAAACAGAAAACATTCACAAAACCTTTTATACTTTTCTCCTAAATACTGATATAATTTAGTAATGTCAATGGTAAGTGACATGGTGTTTGAAGACAACAGGGCCTTTGCTGCTAAGTTGGGCTCGGCAGTGCAGTTGCAAAGGTTTTATTATAGTATTCCTGAGCGACATTTTCTTTTTATATGTACTATCTGGATCAGAACTAAGTTGTAAGAAGTACCAAACCTTCATATCTTCATATCTGAAGTACAATCATGTTGGAATTTTCCAATGAAATCTCAAGTACATAAAACATACTTTACAATGAACGCATCTGTGTTTCTTTTTACATCTGACAGTTTTATCAGAAAAAACAAACATGTATCAAAAATGCAACTATTCTAAAAACCCCACAGTATAAAGTCTACTTAAGTTTCAGAAAGATATGGAACACTATTTTTGATAAAAATCAAAAGCGAAACAAAATGGACATACCTGTGATCACCGCTAACTTTTTCCCACTAGATGGAGCTGCTGGTTCAATTTCAATTTTATCTTGGGGTTGCTGTATTTTTCCAGATGACTTCCTTGGAGATTTGCGAGCTGAACCTCTAGGCGATACTCTTAATTGTGGTGCATTTTGGATGATTTCAGGGCTGTTTTGGTTTGGTACTTCTGCTGCCTTGTTTCTCCTTTGATTTTTGGGGGATACAGAACGCAGAGATACAGCTGGTGCAGTTTCATTTTGTGTACTTTTTCTTCCTTTTGGCATTTTGGGTTCTTCTACATTACCAACCTCTTCTTTTATTTTATTTTCAGGAGTAATAATTTGTCTAACCACTTCTTCAGCATTAAGACACCTTTGAGGAGTACCTGGTTTTAATTTCTTTTGAGAAACACAAATGGTCTTCTCTTCTAGTTTGTTCGCTATGTCAGCCAACTTTGCAGGAGTCTGGATATGGCGACTTCTTCTTGGACTTTTTTCATCAATGGAGGACCCTGTGAAAGGCATGAAAGAACCCTTCTGCATCTCTACAGCTGTTTCATCTTTGTTTTTTAGTGAAGCCTCAATACTGGCAACAATATCTGATGTTTCAGATGTCAGTTTTCTACTCTTTCGAGTAGATTTAGGTGTCCTTCCATTTAAACTTTCTGCAGATACAATACTTATTCCACTGGAATCTGCAGGATTTGTTTCCTTTTCAGCCAGTGTTTCACTACCAACAAATGGCTGTGTGTTTTTAGCTGGGGTCTTTTCGTTAGTACTTTCATGTAACGGGGCACATTTAGCATTTAACTCCTCATTAATTTCAGATTTACCTACAGGATTATCCATTTCTATCACTTTGGTGTGCATACTTTCCTTTGATTCACATCCTGACAATGGTATCTTTGGATCTGCACATCCGGATACCTTCCATGGTGATCTTTCAGATTTCTTAGAACTTCTCCTATTACGGGGTAAAATATTTTGCTTGACCATTTCATAAAGCTCAGAAAATGGAGAATTTTTTGTCTTATTTTCAGTCGGGTTGTGTTCCTTTGCTCCCAAATCAGCATTTTCACTCTCCTGATCTTTAGAAGGTTCACATCCAGTGTCCTGGTCCTCTTTTAAATCAAAAGAAGCATCTGTAAAAGAAAACAAAAAACACTATTACACTACAGACATTTTAAGAACAGTGTATAAAAATGAAATCTGATAACTATGTGGAAAGCACAGGAGCTGAAAGCTAACCATCATGGTCTCTACAACCATGTACTATATTAAAATTAAAATCCAACTCAATCAACTTTTGAAATTAGGCTAAGCTAGTTTACTGGTATAGTATATTTTGCCCTTTCTTAACCTAGGTAATGTCTCAATCCATTATTCATCTTCTAACTCCATGCCTTAACTTCCTACGGGACTCTAAATCGTACATGTAATACCCTTAATGTTTTTAATTCACAGATTGGTAAGTGGCAACCAGATGGTAGCACTTCATGTCATGTTAAAACATCAATTGACGACAATGCTTTTCAACACTCTTAAATCAAGACTAACATTTACCTTTAGCTAAACCTAAAGATACATGTACACTTGCAGTAGAACATTTTTTAAAAAATCTACGTAGAGAAAAAGATCCCAATAACATTTGATTTTTTTATAAAACAAATGAACTAATGAAAATAAAACTAGGAAGACTAACTACAACAATATTAACATATATTGGGTATTTCTTTCTATGTGTTTTTGAAAATAAATGAACTCTTCAGTTGGCTTTTATACCCCATTTGGTGAGAGAGTTAAACCAGAGCTCAGCCCACACTCAAGGAGCACTCAATTTTTAGGGGATCAGTGTGCACACGAGCTAGTTGACATCCAGTCCTGTGTAACTCATTTAAGATTTTAGCATTTTTCATACTCAGGCGAGTGCCATCTCAAGTAAAACTTGTTGTATATAATCAATAAATCACTTTGAATAGCTTAATATGTATACAATTTGAGACAGTAATGATAAATTCACAAGTCACTAAGAATTTCTAATTCTATTTTGACATTGCTATTACAATTCATGACAAAGATGGGTAAAGTACCCTAATCTAAAAGTTTAATGAGATATGTGATGGTCTTTATAAAGACGGACAAATAAAATGCCACAAATCAACAGATACAAGGATTCCTAGGTGAATAATTGCTAGACTATGAGAGCAGAATCTAATGAGAAGCAACTCCAAACTGATGCAGTTGTTTCTCCACAGCTCCAAAGCCAGAACGGTCTATAACAGTTCCAAGTATGAAGTTTCCCATACTCCTTCAGGAGGGTTAAATTAGTGAAGCCAATTAAATTTAAACCACATTACTTGGGAAGTGGGAGGAAACAAAAGCACCTGGATTAAAAAAAAAGAAAACTAAAATATTTTGGGCAACTGGGCGATCACTGGAGGTTAAAAATATGTCAATTATGCAAAAATGAAATCTTTCATCATTTAAATAAACAAAGAACCATCATCCCTTCAGTGTATCAAATGGTATTTAGAAACCTAAGGGTCTTTAGTTCCTAAATAGCAATGTGTAAAGGTTTGTTGAAAAAAAAAGCTATACTACCCAGTCAACAAAGCAATTACTTTGCTGGTCCAAAA